ATTATTATAGATACGTTCTCTAAATATGCTTGGTGAGTTCCAGTAAAACAGAAAACTGCGAAAAATGTCACTAACGCAATGGAGTCTGTATTAAAAAAGGGACGCATTCGTAAAAATCTCCAAGTGAATAGAGACAAAGAGTTCTTCAATACAAATTTTCAAAGTCTAATGAAAAAATATAAAATAAACCTTTCTACTTATAGCAAACTTAAAGCATCAATTTATGAATATTTCAATCGAACACTTAAAAATATTATGTGGAAAAAATTCAGTTTAATAGGAAATTATAAGTGGATTGACTTTCTTCCCAGTTTAATAAAATCTTATAATAATCCAAAACATCGTACAATAAATATAAAGCCTAAAGTCGTGACTAAAGAAAATGAAATGCAGGTCTTGACACGATTCTCTTACGATCATCATCTTTTCAAAAAACCGAAATTCCAAGTAATAGATAAGGTGCGAGTGAGTAAGTCTAAACACGTTTTTGAAAAGGGATAGACGCCTAATTGGTCTACAAAAATTTTTACTATTCATCGTATTTTGAGAACTAAATCTGTAATATGTCACCTACTAGATTATCAAGAAAATTCTATTGTTAGTGGTTTTTACGAGCAAGAACTACAGAAAGCTATATATCCTGATATCTATTTTGTAGAAAAAATTGTTAGAAGACGGAATAATGAAGTCTTCGTAAAATGGCTTGGCTTTGATAATACTCACAATTCTTGGATAAATCGGGAGACTATAAATCAATGAATTACAAATATAAATTTATATGTATCTAGCTTGTATTTAAATAAATAGTGTTGTTTTCATTTATAAATATTACATTGTTTTTTTTTATTTTAAGAATAAGAGCCCCGACCTTCGGCCTTACTTGTGAGGTACTTCCATTTTTATATTCGACACTAGTGAGTCCATTGAGACAAGTCGAAACCTGCTTTAATAGAAACACTAATGACTCATTTACCTCTCCAGGAAATAAATTTATATAATATAATCTTTATTGAGATATAATAAGATATACAAATACATTTAAATAATAAATTGAAATCGATCACATCCATGATATTGAATAAATAATGCATATTTTTGAACTCTATCAGAAAGATGAATAAAAAAATCAAAAATATCAAAATGATGAATTATCGCTCTTGACATTCGGTCCATTAGCACAATTTCGAAGTCACAATCGAGTTTAAGAATAATTCGAGATTCATCTTGCCTCATCTATGTTATTAGATAATTCTGATCTTCATGTAATTCATAATGATTCTTTTCAGGAAATATGTCGAAACGCCTCATTCCAATGTTATTCAGCATTTCAAAATTCATCTTGCTGTAGGTAAAGAGATTTAGAATGTTACGCCTTCTTCTTCTTCTACTACTACTACTACTTTTATTACTACTACTGTTCTCACTACTGCTGTTGTTGCTGTTGCTGATGCTATAATAGCTACTACTCGATTCTTGAGACAGAATGAAGCACTTCGAGGCTTACAGCTCTTTTATAACCTCTCCCCATTACTTTGGTTTTCGAGACGCCACAACCGCCTCCCTCTACTTTGAATTAGATTTCCATTTTATTTAACATATATATAGTGTGGGGATTTTCTAATATAGGACCAAGCATTCAATTCATCATCAATATACGTTTCTTAATTAATACTCGTGATATAACTTTATTCAATTCAGAAATACGAGTACGTCTTTGGAAACGTTCGTGATCTCGTGCTATCTACTCCCAAATACCTTTTCTAGATTATTTTTTTTCGTATGGAAGATATTTTAACTTTCTTCGCAAACCATACATGCTTCGAAAAGGAGCGAGATCTCTTGTTGTCTCTTATAGCTGGCATGGCTAAGCTTTTACTACTACTTCTTCTTACCGCTGCTTCAAACAGAATGGGCTTCTTATTAACGTCTTATCGCTATTTGAGAATATAACCCCACTATTATGCTTATCGAGCCGCTGAATTCGCCCCCTTCTCTCTTTTTTATTTATTTTTTATGTTAGGGAATAGTGAGAGTCCCAACCATCGCTCTCACCGATGAGGTACTTCCACTACTATCATTGCTTATGAGACCGTTACACTAAGTCGAAACTCAGCGGAAAGAACGCATAAGTAATTACTTCAACCTTCTTCTCAAAAAAAGGATTTGAAGGAATAATTAAATTAGGATTAAAGACGTGATTAAAATTTTAAATATAAATTTATTTACTATATACACTCATACATTTTAGTAATTTAATTATTAAATTCGAAATTCGAGCCTTCTCGAAGATGTAGAAATAATTCCTTCTTCTCCGTGGTCTCGTACAATTTCTGAAGCATCTTCTAATCTTTTTCTAACGCTAAGCTTACTCGTTTCGGTAGAAATACCTCAAATTCGTCATCTACTGTTATTACTACACGAAATCCGTAGCGAGTGTTAGTATACTATACATTTTACTTCGAAGGCCAATGAAATTTCTCATAATATTATCATTGCATTCATCTTTCATAATACCGAGAACTTTTTTATTAACTAACGGCATATTAAACTAATTATTTTCTGAGTAATCGGATGTATCAAATTTATTAATATCTTCTTTCATTATTTCATATATATCAACATCTTGAAATTCATACACGAGGCTATCTGTATCAGTATAAAGTAATTTTGCTTTATGAGCTAGTCTTTCTTTTATGTAGCCATAGTGGAAGTCATATACTAATGTTTTTGAGAGATCGAGCACACAAAGAAAATTGCCTACCGAACGCGACATCAGGTAAGACTCGGTCCCATTCTTTGTGATTCCGGCGTAAGTACGAGGTTATTATCGTCTTCAGAGTTCTGTTAACTCTTTCGGTAGGGTTAGCCTGTGGGGTATAGGTCGTTGTAAGGGTCCGGTTTATCCCCTGGTCTCTCAGGTATCCATCTACAAACTGGTTACGGAATTCGGTGCCATTATCGGACAGGAAGACCTTAGGTGCGTCGAAGAGCAGGATCACTCATTCCCGCAGTTCCTTCGCGATCGTCTTACCATTGGCACAACGTATAGGTATACACTCGACCCCTCGCATGAATAAATCGATGAACACTAATGCGTATTCGTGCCCTCGAGGGCTCCTCGGAAAGGGTCCGGCGATGTCGCCCGCCACCACTTGCCAAGGTGTGGACAACATCCGATCCCTCATGAGTCCGCGCGGCAGTTGTTCGACCTTACATAGCTGACAAATCTGATACTTTTAGACGTACCCTTTGACGTCCGCATACATTTCTGGCCAATAGTAGGACTGGGCGATGCGGGCGAAGGTCTTCTCACGTCCCAAATGTCCAGCGGTCTCAATGTCGTGGTTCTCGAGTGATTTAGAGAAGTCTCTCTCCCGATTTCGAGGAGCTTCTGGCTTCTTGGTGCGGTCCTCCGAGGTCAAGTTTTTCTTAACGAAATTGTGCTTCATCCCTTCCTATATTTACTTGAGGGATAATAGCACTTGGCTTAGCATATCGGTCGGTGGAGCCTTCTTCTCGCCATCAACTACTACTACTACCACTACTACCACTACTACCACTACTACCACTACTACGACTACCACTACTACTACCACTACTACTACCACTACTACCACTACTACCACTACTACCATTACTACCACTACTACCACTACTACCACTACTACCACTACTACCACTACTACCACTACTACTGGTTGTCACTGCTAAGAAAGCTAGTGAAGCAGGCTGTCTCGACAGACTGCGCTCTTTTCCAGTCGAGCACGGCTTTTAAGTACTATGGTGGCGCTGAAAGCAGCGGTTTCGGCGGTGTAGGTTGAAGAGGGTGTAGTCATACAAAAGAGTGGAGTAAAGGTTTTATTTACGTAACTTGAAATCATAGATAAATCGTAACAAATGCTAGAGAGAGAGAAAGAAGCATTAAAAATGCACCTAGCCAACATATAGCTTAGCCAATGCACCTCAAGCTAGAAATGCTACGAGAGAGAGAAAGAGAGAGAGAGAGAGAGCAGCATCCACACTATACGGCGCACATGTCTAGCAAGCTAGAAACGCTACCCACTCTCCGAGGGCCTACACGCAGCCAGCATAAGCTTACTAAGCGCCCTACTATCGAAGGAGAGCGAGAGAGCATCATATAGCTGTGGGTGAATAGGTAGGTGGGTGGGTGGGTGGGTGGTCACTTTGAAGGACCCACTGATAGACAAACAGGTGTCAAACGCGGATAAATAGGTGTCAAACACGTGTCAAACTATCCTAAATACACAACACCTTCATCGGGCGGCCTCTTTGTGTCCCAGAACATAAACATATCCCTTATATATTAGCGGCATCCTTTGTGTCTCAGAACATACACATATCCTTTACACATTGGCGGCATCTTTTGTGTCCCAGAACATACATTGCTTATCTACTGATAAAGAATCGCATAAAAATAGTAATATATAATTTCAATCTCTAGTCCATAACCAATTTTCATGATAAAGATATAAAAATCTTATTAAATACTCTTGGTACAAAATTGGTTACCTTGATGTGAACCTTGGAAAATTACAGAAACTTGTTGACTTTACCTTTGGCGATTCTTGTAAAACGTATTGTGAGATCGAAGGCTGCAGTAATTTTGCAATAATTCGCTATGCTTCGTGTAAAGAATCATTATGCTTCATTGTTTTACACTTGTTCGAAGAGTATCATTATTGTTCATCATTTAATGAATGGATAAAGCTAATTGTGAAAGTTTATAAAAATTATTAAAAATTTAAAAAATACTAGTATATATCATTATTATAAATATTTATCAGCTTGTTTATTAGTTTATACAGTACTGACAATACTAAATTTTTCATTAATGTTATAAGTATTAATTAAATTCAGAAAAACCCAAATAACCCAAATTTATATGCCCCAAACATAAATTTAAAACTAACAGTAAGACAAACCTCAAGCATACAAATCCACAAACTTTAAGTCCATTCCTAATTATATCCGTCCTGAAATAGAGTTTACAGTATAAACAGATCTTCATACTAACAAAATCTATATACTATGACAAACATTAATATAAAAATAAATCAATAAATGACAAATAATTAATACTCGTATTAACATCCGGCCTGATTAAGTTAGTTCGAAGATATTTCAATTAAATCAGGTGACAAGTAAGTGGTTATGATTTTTTTCTGTTATTTAATACAATTTTTCAATTTGATTTTATATTTTCCATTATATAAGGCTTGATTTTAATACTTTTATATCATTATGGTTAAGGAAAATCGAATATTTACGTCTGTATGCTTTTCATTATCTGGTCTCATTTTATTTTATTCAAATTTTGTCTTGAATTCCAGTTTTTATTATTATTAGAAAAAATTAAAAATTTTAAAAACCTATGTTCGATGAATTTGAAAGATATTATTCCTTTACAACTTCAAAAGCAATGTTTCACATATAACATTTGGCAAATTATCTAATAGATTATTTTTTGGTTCATTGTTCGTCTTATTTGAAGTTAACTTTTTATATCCAAAAAAATCTTAATAAACCTGAAAAAAAGTTATTATAATTAAATTCAGTTAATTTGAAAAATGGAAATAGATTTAATATAATATCAATTATTATTCTCAATATTATGTTATGATAGATAATATCTTAACATAAAATCTCTTTACCACAACTATGCAGCTAAGAAATTATTAAATTAGTAAGTTGTAACGGAGCTATCTAGATGAAACAGATGAGGCTACTCGCGATCGTCTGTGCACATTATTTTAAAAAGATGTTCGGGAGGCGCAAACACTCTCATAAGTGAATAGTGCATCGGGTATAACACTAATCGCGCGCGAAACTACTCGTATATTCAGGATACGGAAAGAGTCGGGTTTTAAATCACTGTTAGTTACGTTTATTATTTAATGTAACGCTATCACATATGATCCGTCATTTCTTTTATACTTCAGTGTTGAGTGATGAAATTTATATAATCATTTTTCGTATTTTTGATGTAATGTAAAAGAAAATGAGACATCGCGTAGATTAATTAGCGTGCGACGAATGTTCGATGACGCGTTGGAATACCAACAAGAGTGTATTCCGTATGCATTCGTACACGTAAATGAGAGAAAGGGAGAGAAAGAGAGATAGAGATGGATTTTCATTTTTTCCAACTATTCGTCGTTTCAACAAGGGGGTTGGGGAACGATTGAGGCGATGGCTGAGGAGATGTCACTAAACGTTAGAGCACATTCCTTGTCCTAAATTAATTAATAAAATATAACATAAAAGTAAATTGAATAAAAAATTAAGAGAAATTATTTGTATTATTTTAAAAAACTATCATCTACAGATCCTTTCGAGCTAGAAATTTATTTCATAACTTTACCAACGTTTCGGAAACCTTATTCATTTTTCTCTTCAAGAGCTTGAACGAGCGAAGCAATTCGACAAATTACAGCATCATCCGACAATTAAACGCACCAACAGTTTGAAACGGAAGCATGTCAATGGATTGTGACAGAGTTATAGCGAGTTTGCTGGCCTTGTACGCCGTACTCTCGCGGCGATGCATAGTGGGGGAAGAGCAGTACCTAAGGGGATAAAAAGAATCCGTAGCGGCAAAAAAAGAGATAGGGCAGTTAGGCGAAAGCTGATCGAGGGAAGGCCGCCTAAATAAAAGAGGCCGACAAAATTTAAAAAATGAAAAAACCCAGAAACCAGACAGTACGTTTCCAAACGTTTTTGGTGCGCTGAAACCGAATCTGACCTCAGAATTGTTCCATCACCCTAGGTTTTCGAGAAATTCTAACCTAAAAGTTCAAAAAACACTATTTTTCACTATATTTCGCGTAGTATTACGTCGTAAGCCAATTTTATTTTAAAAAACGAGTAATGCTATCTCAAAATACTACTCTTACCCTTCAAAACCCTTTTTTTTAGATTTAAAAAATCTTTTTTTTCCATCGAGATATCGCAGATTGAATTTGAGTGATTTAGCGATTTCGTTACAGCACGAAATAGTGGCGGATTTCCGAATAAGGTGTAATTATATATTTTTTGGGTCACTGAATCCAAATTTAACGTCAGAATGACCCTATAACCTCAATTCCCTTAACCCTAGAGCCCCATAACCTGCGACGCTGTAACCCCTGACCGACATACTCCAAAGTCCTTAACTCTCGAGCCCTTTAACCTGCTGCGGTATAACCCCCGACCCTCACACCCCAATTTCCTTAACCCTCGAGTCTTTAACCTGCGAAGCTATAACCCCCGGCCCTATTGAGGGTTAAAGAAATTCGAGTTTGGTGGACGGGGAATACCGCTGGGTCAATGGAACAACGATAGACGTTATTTCTGTGGTAAAAGAAGGTAGAAGAATTTGTGTCTGTAATAGGAAAATTCATATCCAACTTACGTATACAAGTACAATTTAGGTTTACATACAAGTGTCTATAACTTGCGAAATCGATCAGCTAGGATTTTTAATCTTACATTTTTCTGGTCTACTGATGATGAAGAAAGTATCTACGTTAGCAGATATCGGATTCACTGAGGGGCTTCCTTTCCTTACTTGAGGATAACCGTGTATGACATTGCTCAAAAACTACAAATTTTTGTGCTTCGTTCTTCATCCGTGTTAGGGATCGTGTTTGAGCGGCAGGCTAACGGATAAGTTACTGGAATTGAATTTTTGGTATTATTTCTCGTACAACACTGCGTGCAGTACTTTCATTGATTTTTATTATAACTTCATTTTTCAGAAATTTTATCATTACCCCATTCCGGTATTAGAATAAGTTTATAATATTATTCGTGTTTTAACACTGCTCGAAAACTTCAAGTTTTTGTGTTCTACTCTTCATCCCTGTTAGAGATCGTGTTTGAGCGGCAGGCTAACGGTGAAGTCACTGGAATTAAATACTTTCTATTATTTCTCATATAACACTGCGTGCAGTACTTTTACTGATCTTTATTATTACTTTGTCTTCTAGATATTTAATTATATTTACCCATTTCGTTATTAGAATAAGTTTATAATATTACTCGTGATTTCCAATTAACTTATAAGTTATTGAAGATGTCGGCATGTAGAATTCCATGCAAAGGAAAAATCAATTCCTTTTGTAATATCTGCGGTAAATTTGAGTTAGCTCGACTTCGTCGATCAATCACTGATATCATTAAAGATCAGTTTGAAGAATGTTACGAGACACCTATGAAGAATTTAGACAAACCATGGGTTCCTAAATATATTTGTGAAGACTGTCGCCGAAGATTGAAAAACTGAAATAAAACTAAAACCGAAGTTGTTCTCCAACCAACAATATAGCGTGAACCTAAAAATCACCATGATGACTGTTACTTTTGTAAATGTGATACTTTAGGTTTTAATCATAATAACAAAGCTTCTCTCCTTTATCCGAACGTTTCTAGTGTAACAGCAGCTCAGTATGGAAAAATAGAAAGAAAAAAAAATTCTGATTCTGAGCCGAAAAAACTTCAATCAATAGAAGTTCCGGTAACAGACAAAAGCATCAGTAGTGATGAAGAAGATTTTTCTGACTGAAAAGTCCAAACTTTTCGACCAAAATTCTTTGGATGATCTGATCCGTGATTTGAATCTTCCGAAAGATTCTTCAGAACTCTTAGCTTTAAGACTAAAAGAAAGAAATCTTTTATTACCTGAGACAAAAGTTTCTATTTACAGGAAGAGAGATATTCCATTTCGGCCATATTTTACTTGCGTGGATAACCTTGTTTACTGCAACGATATAAAGCATCTCATCAGTTTATATAGAGTGCAAGGAGGTTATAATCCAGAGAACTGACGACTCTTCATGGATGCATCTGTACAAAGTCTCAAGGCAGTACTTCTCCACAATGGGAATGGGTATGCAGCTATTCCCATTGCTCATTCCACTGTGATGAAAGAATCTCACGATAACTTTCGATTCCTTCTTGAGAAAATCAATTACAATGAACACAAATGACTCGTTTGTGGCGATTTCAAGATGATCAATATATTAGTTGGCTTGCAATCTAGAAATATGAAGCACCTCTGTTTTTTGTGTCTCTGGGACAGTCGTGCACGAGAAGAACATTGGGTTCGGAAAGAATGGACGAAAAGAATCGGAATGGTTGTTGGATCACACAATGTCGTCCATGAGAACCTTGTTGATACTAAACATATCTTGTTACCTCAACTCCATATAAAACTAGGCTTGTTGAAGCAATTCGTCAAGGCACTAGATAAGGAAGATGAATGTTACAAGTATCTTCAGGGCAAATTTCCTAAATTGTCTGAAGCGAAAATTAAGGAAGGCATATTTGTAGGGCCAGACATTCGAGCACTTATGAAAGATGATGAATTCCTCTTGACAATGACGACTAATGAGAGAAATGCTTGGATAAGTTTCAAAAGTGTCACCGAGAATTTTCTCGGAAACCACCGGGACCCTAAATACAAAACTATTGTGTCGACAATGCTACAGAATTTTAAAAAATTAGGGTGTTTGATGAGCCTGGAAATACAATGTTTGTTTTCACATTTGGAATACTTTCCGGACAATGTTGGTGCGTTCAGTGAAGAAATGGGTCAAAGATTTCATCAAGATTTCAGAAACAAAGAGGAACATTATCAAGGTAGATGGAATGAGAGCATGATGGCTGACTTTGCTGGGCTCTACACCGACACGATACATTGACAGATCATCATAGACGCAAATCTCTTAAACGTTCATTTTAAGATAAACGACAGCGTTATTTTATAAAAAAAAGAAGTGAAAAACTGTAGGGTTGCAGATATTCAGATGTAACACTCACAAACTGAATAAATGAGATTTAAAACGCGTAATTGAAAGCTGCGTAGAATACAAGGGTTGGATATTGAAGGGATTGAAATGCAGAGACATACGGTCATACGATAGCAGCTTGAAGTGCTGATTGAGAAAATTCTGGCAAAGGAGTCTGAGGTTGCAGACTTGCAGGGCTCGAGGGTTGAATATAATTTGGAGGCTTGAGGTATTCTGCGTAGCGAATTTCGGTATGAGGGTTGGGGGTTAAAGCGTCGCGGTAATATGGCTCGAGGGTTGAGAAAATTGGGGTGTGAGAGTCGGGAGTTATAGCTTCGCAGATTAAAGGCTCGAGGGTTGAGGAAATTGGGGTATGAGGGTCGGGGGTTATACCGCAGCAGGTTAAAGGACTCGAGGGTTAAGGAAATTGGGGTGTGAGGGTCGGGGGTTATACCGCAGCAGGTTAAAGGGCTCGAGGGTTAAGGAAATTGGAGTATGTCGGTCAGGGGTTACAGCGTCGCAGGTTATGGGGCTCTAGGGTTAAGGGAATTGAGATTATAGAGTCATTTTGACGTTACATTTGGATTCAGTGACCCAAAAAACATATAATTACACTATAACTCCTTATTCGGAAATTCGCCACTATTTCGTGCTGTAACGAAATCGCTAAATCACTCAAATTCAATCTACGATATCTCGATGGAAAAAAAAGATTTTTTAAATCTGAAAAAATGGTTTTTAAGGGTAAGAGTAGTACT